GTGTTAGCACTGTTAAGAATGTACCCTGGCCCTCACCATGACAGGATACAAAGCAGGGAGGGGATGCTGTGGGAAGAGGTAAGAGGTGAGTTCACCAAGGCTCAACTTTTTTCTCCTGAACAAACTGCCCGTGGGGTCCCTCTGCATCTGGCGGCAAAAGGGCCAAGTACACGGGGGTCTCCGCTCCTTCTTCGGGGCTCTTGGTGGCTTTTGGTCCCGCCATGTCGGTTCTCACCCACCCGGGGCAACAGGCATTGAGGAGGATCTTGTCCCCTCTCCTCTGCTCGCTGAGTTTCCGGGCGTGGATTCTGGACAGGACGGTCACCCCGATCTTGGTCACTCCATATGCACTGTTCGGCCAGCCTTCTTTATTATGCACTCCTTTCTTCGTGTCTTCCACAAACTTGTTCATGAGCCCCACCAGCTCCTCCTCTGTGATGGTCTCACTGCGAAACTTCTGCTGCAGCTCTGGGCTGCAGTTTTTCAGGGCCCTGAGGCTCACCATGCTCGACACGTTCACCACTCTGCCTAAAACACACCACAAATTGCTATGTAGAGAGGCGTATGCAAGAACGGCATTTTACATCTGGCGAGATTTTTACATCAGAAAGTTTCCATCTGAGAAAAGGATTCACAGAACAGGACTGAGGGAGCGTAAGAAACTGCATTCTTTCCTTCAAGGTTTGGTTGGGTAGAGAAGCCAGGTGACCATGGAAACAGCTGCCCTTTGAGGTTCTAGAGATCCAGAGGACCGGAAGGGAGAGAGAGAGGACATTAGTTTAGAGTGAGCTATACTTACTGAACTCTAAACTAGAACCTCACATTCCTAAAGTGGTTCACTTGTCATTGCTGGTATGTACTGAATGAGCAGTGGCTCCCAGGCTATCCAAATGACACGGGTATTAGTAGTTTATGATAAAAGGATTGTGATAGTTTGTTTTGCAGAACATGGAACATGTCAATGGAGAGCTAACAGCCTGGAGGAAAGATGGGTCAGATTATAGAGTCCTGTGAACCATGCCAAAGGCTTGGGCCCTCTCCTGAAGGACCTTTGGGAGGGGAGGAGCTGGGCAGACAGGGTATAGAAACCCAGGAAAGGAGCATGCTCAAGAAAGGAGACCTCCTGGGTGGGTTGGCAGCAGTGCAGTTTGACAGCTGAGACCTGCTGTGGAGGTGAGCTGAGGGAGGCACTCAGTGGGCATAATCTGAGGCTTTGTGGGGACAGGGCACTGTGACCTGCAGGGGGCCAGTTGGCCTGCCAAATGTTTGAGAGAGGAATGGAAATCTAAAAGCCCCTAAAGTGTGAGGATGTGAACATTTAAAGAGGAGTCAGACATGCAAAGAGAGAATCTGCGGCCAGAGAAGAATTGAGACCAAAAGCAGAGCCACACCTCCTGTGGCGGAGAGGCGGGTGCCACACCTCCGGTGGCGGACAGGCGGGTGCCACACCTCCTGTGGCAGAGAGGGGCGGGTGCCACACCTCCTGTGGCAGAGAGGCAGGCGCCAGTCCGGGCACAGAGCGGGAGAGGCAGGCCTGGGGACCTCCCATCAGACTCACCTTGGGGTTTTATGAGAGGCAGGAGCTCAGTGCAGACATCTCGGGTACCAAAAAAGTTCGTTTTCATGGTCACTTCGGCTTGAACGTGGAAAGGGGTTGGGTCAGCAACTTCCGGGGGGGGGGGGGGGAGGAGAAAGAGAATGGAATTGACTGGATGAAGCTGTATAGAACCTGACCCAGAGCGTTAGAAATCCACTTCCAAGTGTTTAGTCGGAGCCCACTGTCAATCTGAGAATGCTCTATTGTTTGTGAAAGACAGCAGCACCCCCGGGGGGAGCCTGGGGGAGGGCTGTGTATCAGGATCTTAATGTAACACCCCCCCCCCCCGCTCTTTCTCTCCCCTCAATTTTCCTGTTTATTTCACAATCAGATGAGAAGTTCCACTCAAGTATCCCCAAGCCCAATTACTCAACAACTGGGAACGACGGCCGACTAGTCCTAGTTAGATAAACTCAAGGGCCACGGAGCTCGCTCTGTCTGCAGCCCCCACCCTGCCCTGTTTCTCCCGCGCCAGAGCGCCCCTGCCCTAGCAGAGCTCCCCAGAGAGCACCAGGCTCTGGGGAAGCCGCCTCCCCTCTCTCCGCACCCCACGGCTTACCCTTGAAGGCGATGCCCGCGTTGTTGACCAGCACGTCCAGTCCCCCGTACTCCTTGCGCAGAAAGTCGCGCAGGGCGCGGATGCTCTGCATGTCATCGATGTCCAGCTGGTGGAAGCACGGGCTCAGGCCCTCCGCCTGCAGCTGCTGCACCGCCGCCTTGCCCCGCGCCTCGTCCCGCGCGGTGAGCACCACGTCCCCCGAGAACTTCCGACAGAGGTCACGCGTGATGGCGAAGCCGATGCCCTTGTTACCCCCGGTCACCAGCGCCACGCGGCTGCAGGACGACATGGCTGCGTGGGCGTAGGGAGGCGGTCGGAGTGCAGCGAACCTAGGACAAACAGCACCGGGGGGCAGCGGAACAGCCTCTCGGAACCGGGTATTTCTAGGGTCCTCGGGCCGGAGAGGCCTTTGATGGGCCCACTGCGCAGGCCCACTTCAGGCCCCGCCCCCAGGAGGGCGTGGCGTGGCATGGCGGGAGACTGGTGATTGTTCTTGGATGATTTATACGTTTTGTCTTCTTGGTTGTGTATTTACAGGGTGGGGGCTCAATTTCGCAGCATCGGGTTAAGTTGTATAAAAGTTTACAATGAAAGGATCGTGCCAGGTCCTTTGCTAGCTCAGAGCATGCAGGGTGTTGTTGGGGAGTTGAAAACCAGCCAGAAAATCGACTGGGTCAACTCTTGGGCATCTCAGGCTTTTTTCTTAAGGCCTTTTGGAAGCCAGCAGCCAGGAAAGACTGCAGGAGAAGGCCCGAGAGTTGCGGCTGCAGCTGTCCACCTGGCAGTCAGACATTTGGCTTGCCCATGCGACTGAATCTTCCTCCGTGCTTGTATGAATATGCACTGTATTCCACAACTTGCAAACTGGACCTCTGTACACAGTCTCAATGGTGTTTAGAAAAATAACGCACTGCCCCTTAAGTCGCAGGAACTAGAGTTGTAGGATGAACTGGTAGAGAATGATGAGGAATCGAAATCTGTGTTGAATTTCCCACTTAGAATACTGAAGCAAAGCTGTTGGTTAATTCATGGGCAGGAAACATTCCTTACTAACTGCATGGGTATCTCTTTACATACCTCTAAGTGCTTTGCCTTACCTGGATGTGAGGACTGAGGTATACAGAGGCGAGGGCCATCAGGGAAGGCTGCTCTTCTGTGCACAAAATAGCACCACAATGCACCCGTTATATTCCCCTTGTTAAGATGACAGGATGCTCTATGCTCATAATGTTTACAGTTGGTTTGTAGAGGGGAACAAATCCTCACTGTTTGCTAACACCCTGGAAATAAGGAAATAGGGATCTCAAGGTCAAGTTTCATTTCCTGTTCAGTAGGTTGCTAGTAGCCACAAGTGACCCTTTAAATTAAAGTGAGACAATTGAGTTGCACTGATCACAGTATGCGTGAGGTCGGTTGTATTGGGAAAACGGTGAAATACAGGAAACAGATATGAGACATATCCGTGACAAAAGATTCTGTCGTAAATCGCCATTTCAAGGCAGGCTTCTAGTCAGTCGCTTCCCGAGCGTTAGTAATCAGAAAAAAGACTGGCAAGGATGGGGTGACTGATGGAGCCAGACAGAAGCCTCTCCCTATCCTTTATAAAAAGGCTCTGAACCCTGCCCCCCTCACCCCCAAAAGCCAAGTCCCTGAAATTGAACTCAAACAGTTATTCGGAGATTGCACACACACACACACACACACACACACACACACACACACACACACACACACACACACACACAAGCAGCTGATACCTACTCCAGTCACCCAGCTGTTACAAAAAGAGAAACAGACCCTGTAGTGTCAAAATGGTTAAGATCCTCATTCTGTCCTTAGCAAGCTCCTTCCACATCCTTAGCTACAAAACCCCAGCCGAAAGCATGTGATGTGCCTTCTCGTGATCTCTGGTCTTTGGGTGAGTCCTGTGCCCTGATCATGGCGCGCATGGCCAGAACTAGAAACACTCCTTCTCTGGCATTGAATAAAGCTTGCTCCTCGCTGCTTGAGGACGTCTAAATTCTCATCTTTTATTTCTCCCTGCAAGCTTAATTCTCACTTTTCCTTATACTTTTGACCCTAACAACGCCTCTAAGTCTTGGGACAAGACAAATGCATACACAGGAGTGGATGAGGGAACAGGAAGGGACAGGCTGTCTGGGAAAATGGTATGCCCGGGTCCTGGCAGATGGAGGGCAGGGAGGGCAAGGTGGGAACCAGGTAAGCCAGCCTGGTGGAGGGGGCAGGAGGTCTGAGGAAGAAAGGACGGGGTGAGGAAAGACTCTCCGTAGGCTCTTTCGAGTGCGGGTTGGCAGCCACGGCTCCAGGTGTGCACGTGCGCGTGCTTGTGGGCGTGTGCTGGGGAACTGCGCGTGCGCACAGCAGAGGCGCGGGCTCGGCACGCAGCCGCTTCCGCCACACTTTGGCGTGCAGTCTACATCTCCGCACCCGCCTCGCGTGGTTCCCGAGGTGAGAGGGAGGACTTCCGGGTTGGCTTGGCGTTGCCTGGGTAACGGCAGCGGGGAGGGAATTTGGACGTGTCGAGTTCCGTGCGGATCCCGACCCCAATTCCTGTGCCTGCCTGCAACCTCTCCCTGACCGGAAGTCAGGACCCGGCCGAACACTGCGCAGGCGCAGGATGCGGAGGTCTTCTGCCCACCCCGGTCTGTACGGTAGTGTGGGTGACGGGCGGTGATTGATGGGGTCCGCCGGGACCGTGCTCTGGGGCGCTGGTGGGAAGCAGGGGGACAGGGCTTCGGTGGAGCTGCACACATCTGGGCACCCGCATCTGGGCACCCGCGGGGACCCGGCCTGCGTGTCCAGTGCTCCCGCCGAGGTAGATAATTAACGCTGCCTGCGCGGCTTAGCTGGAGGTCCATGTCTGCCCTGGCCTTTTTTTTTCCTTTTTAAGAAGTAGATTTTCCAATCATTTACGTTGGTATAGTACATGTCAAGTGTGTGTAAATCACTTAAGTTACGTCACGTTAGTGTTCACCGGTATGGTACAGGGTAGGATGTGAAACAGAAAAGGCTCTCTAGAATGTTTACAGATGTTCTTTGGGTCGGAGGCAGGCCCCAAAGGGACCTATTTTACCTTATGTATGTAGGTGTTTTACCTACATATGTCTGTGCACCACATGCGTGCAGTGCGTAGGGAGCCCAGAAGAGGACATCGGAGTTACACATGTGAGCCCTAGGGACTACACCCTGCTCTTCTGCGGGAGCAGCATGGGTTCTGAAACCACTGAGCCATCTCTCCAGCTGCCCCCCACATCCCAGGGAGCTTTTAATTTAGAACTTTCTTCAACTTTACTTTTACTCACTATCTCTTGTATAGTTTTACATCTTAGCGTGTATCTTCCAAAAGTGGTTGCATCTATTTGTTAATCCCTACAGTTGGTCCCCTCTCTGTTGTCTGTGGTCCCTGGATTGTCCCCTTTTGACTTTTTGAGGGACTAATGTAGAAAGCAGTAGTCATTTTTTTGTCCTCTGGTCATCTCTGGCTTGTGTTCTGTCTTGGTTTTCTTTTTTTTTTTTCCAGAAGGAAGATAAAGGGTTTATTTAATAATAAGTTATCTTAAGATGGTAATTAATATACAAAGCAAAATATGCAAAGGGTATTGGGAAGGTAGCCTACATTCCACTCTCTGCTGTCTCTCAACCAGCAAAGTGTCCTTTGTGAGATGAGGCCCCCAAGAGCTGTCACTAAACCTATAGTTCCCAAAGTGTCACAGGGACCCAGAGACTGTCTTGGTTTTCATTTTCTCTCTAATCTACTGCAAACGCCCCTTTAATTATAGTTATTTCTAGAACCTAGTGTCTAAAAATCCAGTTTACACTGATGGGGGTTTATTTATTTTTTCTAAGACGTCTGAGCTGATGGGTGCCTCATAACGACTGTGTATTCTTTTTTGTATTTATTTATTTTATGTGTATGGATGTTTTGCCCTCACATATGTCTGTGCATTACATGTGTGCTGTGTATGCACTGACGCACTGAGCCATGTCTCCCGTCCTTCCGTTCTTAGGAACCGTTAAGTGGTGTTGTAAGTGTTGACTAGCACTGAACTGTGAAAGTCACCAAAGGCTGTGTCTGGGAAGTCAGCTGTGAGAATAGTCAGTAGGGCTTCCAAATGGTTTTGTTTGATTTTTTTAGAGCAGTGGTTCTCAACCTTCCTAATGCTGCTACTCTTATTCCTCATGTTGTGGTGACCTCCTAGCCATAAAATTATTCAATGCTACGTGATAACCATAATTTTGCTGCTGTTATGAATTGTACTGTAAATATCTGGTGTGCAGAATATATGATATGGGACCTCTATGGGGTCGCGACCCACAGGTTGAAAACCACTGTTTTAGAGGCCCCATTATGGGTATTTGTTACTGCAGGGATCCTGATTTAGCACTTGGTAAAAAGTTTTGGCGTACAAAGCTTTTAAGAAAAGGATTTTTTAAAAGAAATGAAAACATTCACCAAAATATGTATTTGTGTATTCAGAGATACCAAGGTTTTTAATTTGCATTCAACTAGAGAGTAAGGCCGAGACTCTCCTTATTTTAGGTTGAACACGACACAGAGGCTCCGGTTTTAATATGCAGAAGCGAAGAGGAAGGACAGGGAGAGTCAGGAGGCAAAGGCAAAGTTCCGACGCAAGAGGAGGTACATACAGGGCTGGGAAGAAGCCGTGTGTGTGTGTGTGTGTGTGTGTGTGTGTGTGTGTGTGTGTGTGTGTGTGTGTGTGTGTGTGTAGGGTCTGTTCACAGTGTTCCTCATGGGAAGAAGCCATGTGTGTGTGTGTGTGTGTGTGTGTGTGTGTGTGTGTGTGTGTAGGGTCTGTTCACAGTGTTGCTCATGGGAAGAAACCCTGGGTGGAGGAGGGTCTGTTCACACAGTGTTCCTAATGGGAAGAAACCCTGAGTGGAGGAGGGTCTATTGGTAGCTGGAGGGCCAGCCTTTAGCTACCCAGGGTATGAAAAAAAAATTCCAGGAATGCAGTGAAAAAGTTTTTATCTATCTGAAGGCTAGACTTTTTCTGTCTGAGGGGAAAAGTAAGGAAACATACATGCTTTCTGAGGGTAACTTTCTCCTTTACTTCCTCTAGAAAAAAAATCTCTTCTGAAAATCTCTCTGGCTTCACATAGTTACAGTCCACACTGTTACCTTCTCCACACATTCTCCACACCACATACCTCTTTTGCACAGTTACACCTCTTTTCTATACAGCTTCATTTCCCTTGTCTCCTCACAGTTACAAGTTTCTACACAGCCATAGCTGTGTCTTATTTACATAGCTCTCTCACCACACAGCCACATCTCTCCCTGCACAGTCGTAGATTTCTATACACAGCTACATCTCTTTTTACATAGCTCCACACTTCTCTCATACATATTTCTTCTCTCCACCTGCAAATTCCTTCACACACTACTAGATCATTCACTCAGTCTTTACTCACTCACTTTCTCACTCACTCACCCTCCTCTACACACACATCTCTCCCCTACATCTCTTTTCTATATAGCTACTCAAGCTCTCTCTTCTACAAAGCTATTCATCTACTCATGTGTACTTCTCTGCACATATGTCCTGCTCTCTCAGCGCGCGCGCGCACACACACACATACACACACACACACACACACACACACACACACACACACACACACACACGCTCTTTTACCTCTACCCAGCTCTTTACACAGACATACGTCTTAGAATCTCTTTCTGAAAATGTCTCTTGCTCTCTCTCCTGTCTAGCTGCTCATCCTCTCTCCTCAGCTCCCTCTGCACCCCCCCCCCACTAACACACACTCACTGCTACGTCTTTACACAGCTCCGCTACATAGCAGTAGCTCCTTCACACAGCTCTTTCACACAGCTCCCCTCACAGCCAAACTCTGCCCACATATGAGTTACATTTTCAGGGTCACAAAGCATTTCTTGAATAAACAATCAGAGACAGAGCCAAACTGATACACATAAGAAATCACACGGTTTCTTTCAGGCTAGGAAGGTCATATTGACTGGCCAGTGAGTAACACTTGGCCATGAATGTAGCTCTAAGTTGGTGAGGGTTCCCAGACAGAAAGTAAACAGTTGGCTGAATCTTGAGCCTGTAACACAAACTGAGGCTGGGACATGCAAAAAGTCAATTACTGTAAAGGGTTATGCCTACCAAAGTTGCCTCATGTCTGACCTTGATTCAGTAACAAACAATACCTGGGAATTCATCTTTGTGTATTTGTCTCCAGGGGCAACAGTTTGCTTTGAATATGTTCTGAAGTCTAAAATTAACTGTCTTTATGACTGAAAATTCTATTACTTTCCTGTATCAGTTATGAAACATATTTTAATATTATTAGAATTATACAGATTAAGCAGAAATCATCTTCTTGACCATCCACAGCAGTATATGTGTCCAAAGATGGAATATTTTCTCAAGATAAACACACAAGCAGTGGGGAAATACCCATAGCTGTTATTAGGGAAGAAATGAAGTGGCGCATGAGAGAAATTACAGACAGGAGCAAACAGTCATTTCCAGTCAGCGGCTCCACAGCTCTGCCAGGTGGTGCTCCCCATCAGGTGGGTCTGGTGGGGTGACCTATTAAATACTAGTTGTCACCTGCTGGATACTCCCAGGGCCTCCTGCAAGGTCTGTTCACACAGTGTTCTTCAGAACATTGTTCAAAGAGAATAGTCCGTAAAGAACATGTTTTAATGGCGTCCTTACACCAGTATGAGAGGATGAATGTATTTTACTCATTGTTTCTACGTTTTTCTCTCTGGCTCTTCCCTGGGTTTCTGCTTCTGTTTGTCTGTCCTTTTGCTCTGGTCTCTCTCTCTGGATATAAAGCATCTCCGATTGATGGTGTGATATACTTTAGTCTTGTCCTTAACCAGCCTGGTGGGTGCTGCCTCTTGATGGATTTCTTACACCTGCCATTTTCCATTTTGTTTTCTTTATGTCTAGTGTCTGATTTTTGTTCTTCTGTTTCTCCTTTAGTGGTTTCTATTATATTAAAGTGGTATTTTATTTTATTTTATTTTTTTGGTTTTTCGAGACAGGGTTTCTCTGTGTAGCTTTGCGCCTTTTCCTGGAACTCACTCTGTAGCCTAGGCTGGCCTCGAACTCACAGAGATCCGCCTGGCTCTGCCTCCCGAGTGCTGGGATTAAAGGCGTGCGCCACCACCGCCCAGCTTTAAATTGGTATTTTAATTCCTAATTGTCTTTTCACTATATGTATGTCTTACTTAGGTTTTCTATTGCTGTGAATAGACACCATGACCACTGCAACTCCTATAATGGAAAACATTTCACCAGGTGGCAGTGGCGCACACCTTAATCCCAGCCTCAGGAGGCAGAGCCAGGCGGATTTCTGTGAGTTCGAGGCCAGCCTGGTCTATAGAGCGAGATCTAGGACAGGCACCAAAACTACACAGAGAAACCCTGTCTTGCAAAACAAACAAACAAACAAACAAACAAACAAAAAGCAAAAAATTAAGGAAAACATTTAATTGAGGTGGCAGCTTATAGTTGAGAGGTTCAGTTCATCATTATCATGGCAGGGAGCATGGCAGCACACAGGCAGACATGGTGTTGGCTACATCTTGATCAGAAAGCAACAGGAAGTGAACTCAGACACTGGGTGGTATCTTGATCATAGGAAACCTTAAAGCCTGCCCCTACAGTGACACACTTCCTCCAACGAGGCCATACCCACTCCAACAAAGCCACATTTCCTGATAGAGCCACTCCCTATGAGCTTATGTGGCGCCAATTACATTCAAACTACCACACTCCACTCCCTGGCCCCCGTTAGCTTATAATAATATCATAATGCAAAATGCAATTTAGTCCAACTTCAAAAGTCCCCATAGTCTATCACAGAATCAACAATGTTTTAAAGTCCAAAGTTCAAAGTCTCTTCTGAGATTCATACAATATCTTAACTGTAATCCCCCCCATAAATCAAAATCAAACAGTAGATCACATACTTCCAACATACAATGGCACAGGATATATATTACTGTTCCAAAACATAGGGAAGGGAGTAGAGTGAGGAAATACTGGACCAAAGCAAGACCAAAAACCAACTGGGCAAACTGCAAACTCTGCATCTCCATGTCTGATGTCAAAACACTCTTCAAATCTCCAGCTCCTTTCAGCTTTGCTGACTGCAACACACTTCTTTCTCTTGGGCTGGTTCCACTCTCTGTTAGCAGCTCTCCTTGCAGGTATCCCATGGCTCTGGCATCATCTGGTCTCCAAGGCAATCCAGGCTTCAACTCTACAGCTTCATGCAATGGCCTCTCTAGGCCTCCATTCAAGGACACCCCTGACACTCAGTGGCTTTTCTTAGTCTTGGAGGCAGATTCCATAGCCCTTTCTTCTATCCTTAACGCCAGTGCCATGTGGCAGAAGCTGGAGGTTCTGTTGCTTGCTGGGGCTGGAACATGGTCCCCTTGTTCAATTACATCTTTACCAGCTTTCTTTCACTACCTAAGCTTGGCTGTCCTGAAACTGGATCTAGACCAGGTTGGCCTCAAACTCAGAAACTCTCTAGCCTCTCCCTTCAGAGTTCTGGGATTAAAGGCATGCACCACTACACCTGGTTCTAAACTTTTCTTTAGTTCCTTTTCACAAGTTGGAAATTTAGCTGGGTGGGATCTTGCTCTGAGGTCACCACTTTCTTTATTCCATTTCTTAATTTGTTTATCTCATTGAACACAGCACTTCATTCGTTTTCTCCTAAAAGCTTACATTTTCTTGCTCCTTTTCATTATAAATCTTCATTAGAGTTACCACTAATAACCACACAACAGAGGCTGTACTACGTTGTTTTGAGATCTCCTCTGCCAACAGAATTAATCCAAAACTCTTTACTTTAGCCTCAGGCAGACTGCTGTGGGATGGTCTGTATGTCAAGTGTGTTGCTGATTGGTCAATAAATAAATCACTGATTGGCCAGTGGCCAGGCAGGAAGTGTAGGCGGGACAAGGAGGAGAATAAAGCTGGGAAGTGGAAGGCTGAGTCAGAGAGACACTGCCAGCCGCCACGATGAGAAACAGCATGTGAAGATGCTGGTAAGCCACGAGCCATGTGGCAAGGTATAGATTTATAGAAATGGATTTAAGCAGTAAGAACAGTTAGCAAGAAGCCTGCCACGGCCATACAGTTTGTAACCAATATAAGTCTCTGTGTTTACTTGGTTGGGTCTGAGTGGCCGTGGGACTGGCAGGTGAGAGAGATTTGCCCTGACCGTGGGCCAGGCAGGAAAACTCTAGCTACAGCAGACTCTTCAGACAAAGTCAAAAAGCAGTCACATTTTTCACCAAGATATCACAACAATTATCTCTAGGCAACATACTAAAATTCTTCTCCTCTGAAATCCCCGACAGTTCAAATAACTCTTGGTACCAAAGTTTTCCATGCTTGTACTAGCATGGCCTATTAAGCAGTGCTTAAAGTATTCCATTGCTTTCCTAACACAAAGTACCAAAGTCCAAATTCCTGCAAACAAAAGCATGGTCAGGGCTATCACAGCAACTAGTACCAACTTCTGGCTTAGTTAGGGTTTCTATTGCTGTGAAGAGACACCATGACCATGGCAACTCTTATAAAGGAAAACATTTAATTGAGGTGGCGACTTACAGTTCAGAGGTTCAGTCTGTTATCATCATGGCAGAGAGTGTGGCAGCATACAGGCAGACGTGTTGGTGCTGACTACATCTTGATCAGAAAGCAACAGGAAGTGAACTCAGATACTGGGCTGTATTTTCAGCATGGGGATCTCAAAGCCTGCCCCCACAGTGACACACTTCTGTAGATGTAACTGTCTTGTTAAATAAGAAACACAGAGCCAATTGCAAAGTTAAAAGCCCAAGAGGTCAGAGCAAAAGCTAAGAGCTAAAAACCTTACCCTTCACTGCCGCTGCTGTCTTCCTCAGCAAGAGTGCTACTTCCTGTGTATCTGTCTTTATATAGACTTTCTGTTCTGCCTTCTCATTTGGTTGTAAACCCAACTGCATGACCTCCTCGTCACTGCCCATCTATACATACCTCCAGGTCTTCTATGGTTGGTATTGAGATTAAAGGCATGTGTCTTCATGCTGGCTGTATCCTTGACCACACAGAGATCTACCTAGCTCTGCCTCCCAAGTGCTGGGATTAAAGGTGTGCACCACCAATTTCTGCTATGGCTTGCTATTAGCTCTGACCCCCAGGCAACTTTATTTATTAACATACAGATAAAATCACATTTCAGTACAAATAAAATATCACCATATACTTCCTTCAGTGAGGCCACACCCATTCTAACAAGGCCACACCTCCTAATAGTGCTACCCCCTATGAGCTTATGGGGGCCAATTACACTCAAACCACCACAATATGTATATTTTTCTCTTGAGACTGAGTAACTTAAGCAGAGTAAGTTGTAGTAGAGGCTGGGAAATCTAACATCAAGGTTCTGGATAGCTTGGTTCCTAGAAAGCCCTGTCTGCCTGCCTTGTGGCCAGCTTGGTTCTCACCTTGTCCTCACGTGGTCAGGACATCTGTGTTCTTCCCACTTTTGTTGGAGAGGGGTGTTGGCATGAGATCTATGGCCTCATACATAATAAGCGCATGCCGTACCACTGAGATACATCCTCAGTTCCCTCTCTCATTAGGCCATCATCATGAAGGTCCCCCCATGACTTCTAACCCTGGTTATTCACTTCAGAGTACATTTGCAAATATCACGAGAGCTTCAGCGTATAACTAAAAGAAACATAAAATCTGAAAGTCATGTTTATTATGTACCTTTTACATGTTTTCAGCAGTATTTTATAGCTTTTGATGTGTGAGTCATGTATACATATATACATACATATATATTTGGATCTACTAAGAATTTCTTATTTTGCCAGGCGGTGGTGGTGCACTCCTTTAATCCCAGCACTCCGGAGGCAGAGGCTGGTGGATCTCTGAGTTTGAGCCTAGTCTACAGAGTGAGTTCCAGGATAGGCACCAAAACTACACAGAGAAGCCTAAGGAAAGCTATTGGAGTCCTACTATTGGTTTTAATGCGGCAATGCTGCAGCTTTGTTATTCATTAAGCGGTGCTGTTACCATGCAAAAAAAGCCACAAGGCACAACAAAACCCATTATCAGAGCAGAGTTTTATTAGAATGCAGGGGGAGAGACAGAAGAGAGCGTGGCCAGGCCTGTGGAAGGGACACATACAGATTGAGAGAGAGATTGGGGAGGAGAAGGAAGAAAAGGAAGGGGAAGGGTCTGTGTCTGCTTCTTATGGATTACCCTGCACATGCGCATATGGGTTTATGGAGCTACACCACACATGCGCAGATTGTGTGATCACGCAGCACACAGATTCATGTAGGACATAAGGCCCCTTACTTGGCTACTTAACTGCTCATGTATGGTCATGCAGCTGGGGGAGTGGCCAGGAATCTGAACACCTACCCCTTGGTAGCCTTCACCAGAGTTCCAGAAGAGATGCTGCCAGTGGTGGATTAATCCGAGGGGTTCACTAACAAATCTACGCACACGAAACTCTTTAATCTCTACACTTTATTCTTCTGAGTCAGTTCTCTCTCCACACAGCTGCTTTTCTGCTCTTATACTTACCTTCTTTCTTGCCTGATTCTCTCCACATCTTTCTGCTCTTGCCTCTAAATGCTATCTTGATTCCTTCGTCTTAGTTCTGCCCCATCTTGGTCTTTCTCATTCTTACCCGCCTAGTTCTTCCCCATCAGGCTCTTCCTCATCTCCCATCTCCTCCTTGTAGTTCTCCATCCAGTCCTCCAATCTAGTCCCCCGAGTCTCTGAGGTTTACAGTTATACACCATGCAATAGCAGTGCTCTGGCTAAGGCAAGGTCATCAGGCTTGAATTCTTACAGGGTCATAAAGGCAGAGAAGAGTTTTCCTCAGGCAGTGACCATTAGGCTTTCTTCTACAACCCAAAAGGGGAGTGGTTAAGGGGGGAGGTCAACTAAGAGCTAAAATTGGTTAAGAAGGGAATTTATGTGCTCAGACTGCATTCCTAGAAGGGGTTAGGTAAAATTTTAGGAGTCTATCATAAACGTGCTGAAACTACAATCTTACAGGTGGTTAGGTAAAAGAGTCTGTAAGTCACTTAAAAACTGCCTCTAATTTCCTACGACACCATATACTGGCAGGGTGGGTGACGCTGCTCAGAGTTAGGAAACCTGTCTCAAAACTACACTGCACCTGGTATGCAAAAAGCTCTTTTTGTTCTGAGTCAGTTGCTCTGGAATGCCGCTTGGGCTGTGAGAGAAAGGAGGGAAACAAAGCTATGCATCTAAGTTAGGCAGTGTCTCTGTAAGGGTGTTTACCTTAATTCAGGAGACTCAGCCATTGGTCTGAAATGCTTTGTCCTGTCTGCCTTTTGCTTTGGATGCTAGAGAAAGTATATCAGATCAAATACACTGTTAGAAGTTATTGGGAAAGTATGAGAGTGCACAAGAAATTCATAGCAGGAAACAGCTGATATACTAAAAGCTGAATAACACCAAATACTCCTTGAGATTTGGCTTAATCCTCTGGAAGGCCTTAGCTTCTTCTAGGTATTAGCTTTGTCATAATCAGCTGAATTCCTCCTACATTCCTGTCTCTCGTAGCAGAAACCCTGTCTCAAAAAAACCAAAAAAACCCCCCCAAAACCCCAAATTTGTATTTTAATAGCATTTTTGGAATTTGACTTTTTTGGTTATTACTAATATATTTAATATAATTAATTTTTTATGTGTTGATTTGTATCTTCCAACTTTGCTAAACTCATTTGTTGTTTTGATATTCCTCTTAGATATTCCATGATTATGCATATGTGTTCTGAAATTTTGTTTTTTTTCCCTCAATTTGATTCTTTTATTTATTTTCCCTTGTTACACTGGTTAAATAGCTTTTGTATTTTTGAGGAAAAGTGAGAGAAGTTTATTTTTTCCCTGTTCTGGATCTTAGAGGAGGTCACTTAGCTCTTCACTGTTGTGGGATATTTGTATACTGTATGAAGATATATGTGATTGGTTTAATAAAGAGCTGAACAGCCAATAGCTAGGCAGGAGGTATAGGCGGGACTTCAGGGCAGAGAGAGGAAGTAGGAGGTAGGGAGGCACAGGGAGAGGCCAACAAGATGTGGAGGGAGTTGGACATACAGAATGAAAGAAAGGTAAAAAGCCACATGGTAAAACAGATGAATAGAAATGGGTTAATTTAAGTTACAAGAGCTAGTTAGGAACAAGCCTAAGGTATAGGCCAACCTTTCATAATTAATAAGTCTCCGTGTTATTATTTGGGAACTGGCTGGGGGGGGACAGAGAAAGACTCGTTACATTTTGCTGTTAAAGTTGCATCTTATGGCAGTGCTCGGAATGGAATGTAGGACTACGGATATGAGGCGGACATTCTACCCCTGGGCTATAGCCCCTGCCCAGTCCACCGCCCCCCCCTCCGATTGTGTTTTTTTTTGTTGTTGTTGTTGTTTATCTGGGTGTGGAAATTTCTTTCTGTCTTATTAGCTGATGATTTTTTTACAGACTGCTGTTAGATGTTACCAGATGGTTTTGTGCATGCATCGAAATAATCATACAGCAAATGGCTTTTCTGTTGAGCGTATATCATCCTCATTTCTAGTCTGTCTGGTCTGCTTCGTCGGATTTATACCTTTGACATGCTGGCCCACTGACACGGCGATGATAATTGTGGTGTGTTCTTGTCTCTCCTGACAGTGAACGAGAGCTACAAACCTGAATTTATAGAGCTGAGAAAATGGCTGAAAGATAGAAAGTTCGAAGACACAGGCTTAGTGCCCGCCTGCTTTCCAGGTGAGAGTCAAGTGAAGGGCGGGTGCAGTTGGGGTTGGGGGTCGGGGGGGGGTGCTTCCTGCAGTGGCCGTCATTTCTGGAAACACATCTGGTGCAGTTGGGGTTGGGGGTGGGGGGGTGCTTCCTGCAGTGGCTGTCATTTCTGGAAACACATCTGGTGCTGTATATTGGAATTCGCCGTTTGTTTGTGTTTTACCTTCCTTTCCTATGGAAAGGAATGACAGATGAGGAAAAAAATTACATTTGAAGGAGAATAATAAAAGTAAGATGAAGCCATGAGGCCAGCTGTGGCGGCGCATGCCTTTAATCCCAGCAGCACTCAGGAGGTGGAGGCTCCTGATATAGATTTAATATAGATTTAAAAAAAAAAGAAAAGAAAAGCAGATGTAGCCATGAATAAGGACAACACTTGAAAGACACAAAGTCTCATGCACTCGTGGGAGAGCAGCATTTGACTCGTGTGTAAAGAGCCCACGCGGCTGACAGGACCTGACAGGACCTGAGGGACCTGTAAACAAACCTCAGAACGTGGGCATCTTCCTTAGCATTTGAAAAATTTTAAGATTCCATCTCACCCCAGTCAGAATGGCTCATATCAAAACACCTGGCAACAAAGGCCGTGAGCTTGTGGAGAAACAGATTCTCTCACTCACTGCTGGTAGGAAGGCAAATTGATCTGCTCTGGATATGAGCATGGAGAATCCTCAGAAAAACTACAACGTGAATCTACCATATATGACTGAGCTAGATCCACTCCTTGGCATATTTCCAAAGACTCAACAGATACTCAGCCATGTCCACTGCTGCTCTGTTCACAATCACCAGGAAATGGAAAGAACCTAAATGTCCTTTAACTGATGAATGGGTAATGAAAATGTGGTATATGTACACAATGAAATTCTATTCAGCTGTGCAGAAAAATGAAATAATGAAATTTTCAGGTAAATGCATGGACCTAGAAAAGATCATATTGAGTGAGGTAACCCAGGCCCAGAAAGATAGACAGTGCACGTCCTTCTCATGTGTGGTACCCCCATCTCCAAATCCTCAGCCAGAAGTGTAGAGCTACCACCCCTCATGGCAGAAACCTCTTTACAGCAGACCATCACAGTGGTTGTTACTTGCAGGTTACAGAGCTGAATGTTTTGCCATAGTGAACTATGGATGCATTCAGGGAGGCAAAGGGTTTAATGGTAAAATGGAAGGGTTACAAAATTGCTTTGAAACAATTATCCACAGCCAGAGAATCACAAGGTCAGGGTGAGTCTAGTGTCAGACAGATGACTGCTGGGCAGGCATCCTCACGTGACTGTTTATGTAAAGTTACAGTTTTAGCAGAATATTTTGTGCTAGTTCCTGTTGTGAGACAATTAAGTGTGAAGCGGCTCCCTTTTTGACTCTCTGGCTTCATTTGTCAGGGTTTGACATAAGTGCTTCCATTTTGTTCCTGACAATGTTCAGAGGACCCTGTGTGGTCCAGGTCTCTGCTGGTTTATGAGTGTGAGCTGCTTTGTTAGCCAAGGACAGGATATTTAACTTTGTGTTTTTGTGTGTCAAGGACTGGTCAGTAAGTTCCTTTCTTGGGTTGTGGCATGTGGAGTTCTTCAGCTCATCCCAAGAAAGGTGTCTGTATTGTCCCGTGTTAAGGTCCTTAGATCTTGACTCAGAACCCAGCTTTGCTGTTCAAGGAATGTAAACCCACAGAGAGGTCAGGTCGTATTCCAGAACAGCTTCCTGACCCCATCCTCCCTGGGAGGGAAGGGCCAAGAGACCCACGTGCAGCACTGCATGGTTGCGACCTGTTTTTAGTCCTGAAGGCCCCCAGGTCTCCAAGATGCAGTAGGACTTACCTCCATGTTTCGTTTCTTCCAGGAACAGGAAGAGGGCTGATGAGCAAAACGTCACTGCAGGTGAGAACTTCTCTTTTATCCTTGGCTCAAGATAGATCCTGCTGTGGGCATATGTGCATGTGTGCGTGCATGCGTGTGTGCCTGTGTGTGTGTGTGTGTGTGTGTGTGTGTGTGTTTTGCTCACATCAAGTGAATCAAATGTGCTTCCCTGTGTAGCCATTTCTCTTATTTACCAAATGGATAGATTTGGTTAGGATTATGCCAAGGAAGCTTGAGTTTGCTCTGTGAATACAGACATCGAAGTCCTCCTGCTGACCCAGCATTGAAATATATTTGTTGTCATTTCAACAAGCAGAGGGGACAGATGATCTGTCCATTATGGTGATATTTTATTTGTATTAAAATGTTATTTGTATGTTAATAAATAAAGTTGCCCGGGGGTCAGAGCTATTAGCAAGCCATAGGAAAGCAGGGCAGTGGTAGCGTATGCTTGTAATTCCAGCACTTGGTAGGCAGAGCTGGGTAAGTCTCTGTGTGTTCAGGGATACAGCCATTATTGGATACACATGCCTTTAATCTTAATACCAATCATGGAAAACCTGGAGGCCTATACAGACAGGCTGTGAGGAGGCGGTCATGTGGTTGGGTTTACAACCAATGAGAAGGCAGGACAGGAACTCTATATAAAGACTTTAACACAGGGGTAGCTCTGGTTCGGAGAGGTAGGACCACCGCAGGAGGAAGGGTAAGGTTTTAGCTCTTAGCTCTGACCTCTTGGCTTTCTTCTTTGCATTGGTTCTGTGTTTCTTATTTAATAAGAAGGTTGGATACATCTACATTCCATAGAGGACCCGAGTCCTTCCATCTCCTTGTCACTCCCTAAGCCTCTGAGTTTGAGTTATAGATGGCCCAGCCCCAGGGACTGCAAAGGCAGGAAGGTGGCTGTCTTTTTGTAGATGAATTTCTAAACGGTCTTATTAAATAAAAAACACAGAGCCAAATATAGGGGTGAAAGCCTTAGATCAGGGAAATAGGGGAAGCCACCAGCCAACCTCACCTCACCAACTCTGCAGCTTCCAAAAGCCGTGACTTCCTGTCTACCCACACACATATGCCTTGCTGTTCTGCCATCTGATTTGCTCTCTCTGTTCAGCTACATCACTTAGTCTTTCTGCCCAGCTCTGTCACTTCCTGTCTGTACCGAACTCCAGACCTCCATGGTTAACTAGTTTTGGAATTTAAGGTGTGTGCCACCACACCTGGCTCTGTTTCCGGTGTGGCCTTGAACACAGAGATCCTGTCTTCCAAGTGATAGGATTAAGAGCGTGTGCTACCGTTGCTGATTTCTTTGTTTACTTAAAATGGCTTGCTGTTTCCTCTGATCTCCAGGCAAGTTTTACTTATTAAAGCACAAATAAAATATCTCCACAGTCTTTTCCCTGGCCCTGTGGGGCCTGAGTGGAACTCTGAGGAGGAAGGAGACAGCCTGGGTAGACCGAGAGTGTGCCACAGCACGTCAGGGCTGTGATGGTGTCTGTGATGGCGGTGGTGCTGGGAAGGAGAGCAGGAGTGCGCTGGGAGTGGCCCTGGAGCCCCTTCCACAGCATGCTCCAGACCTGCATCTGTTTCCTTACCTGGAAAATGACAGTCACGACGTGGGTCGTCTCCATGGTCCTCCTTTTTTTTTTTTCTATGCTATTTAGAAATGTTATCTACTGTGTAACTTTCTCAATAGTTACACATCAATTTTTTTATTTTAAAAATCACATAAGTTTATTTATCAAAATATTTTTGTGTTGGTGTTTGTACCTGGGGTCTTACCTAGGCTAAGTACACATTCCACCACAAAGCAACAGCCCAGCCCCTAAGTTTATTTTTAAATTCCTTAATTTGTTTAAACTTAGTCCTGTATGTATATTCTGTCAAAAGAATGTGAATTTCTTTGCTGTAATTTTATAATAATGCTGTTTTGTTTTTATTTATTGTTTTTACTCTTTTTAAGTGTGTAGTTTAGTGCTAGTGAGTTGAGTCACACTAGTGTGCAGTATTTCTACTTTTTATTATAAATGAAAAAAAATGATTAGTGTGTGTTTTTGTGATGTGCATGTGTGAAGCGGAGGACAGCTCTGAGTTCATTCCCCCCTTCCTCCTTTGCACTGGCTCTGGGGCTGAGCTCAGGTCGCCAGGCTCGTGGGGCAAATGCGACTCAGGGCTTCCCCCTGAGTGTTTCTGTTTTTGAGGCTGTCACAGCAATTCTGTACAGAGCAGCCCTTGAAAGGAGAGCCACAGCTGGCATGTACACAGCAGCACTATGGGGGGACCGTGCTCACACAGCAGTGTTATGGGGGGACCGTGCTCACACAGCAGTGTTATGGGTGGGGACTGTACTCACACAGCAATGTTATAGGGCGATCATGCTCACACAGCAATGTTATGGGGGGATCATGCTCACACAGCAGCGTTATGGGGGCGGGGAACCATGCACACAGCAGCATTATGGGGGGACCATGCTCACACAGCAGTGTTATGGGGGAACCGTGCTCACACAGCAGCATTATGGGGGGGACTGTGCTCACACATCAGTGTTATGGGGGGGGGGGTGTGCTTAGACCATGAAGTGGGCAGCGACACTGGCTTTTCTCCTTCCTCGACTTCCTTCCAGTTTTAGATAGCCCAGCCTGGCCTGGAATTCAGCATGTAGCTCAGGCTAGCCTCAAATACTCCATCTTTCTGCCCCCACCTTTGCAGTGCTGGGGTTACGGGTGTGTGCCGTGACACCTGGCCATGTGCACTCAGAAATGTGTGTGTGTGAAACTTTCTGAAAATAGAGATGTATGTTGTATGCAGTGAGATGTACAGATCTTAAATGTATATTTGATCTATTATATATTATATATATATTATAATGTGTCTGCTCAGGTGTTTCTCTGTTGTGATAAAACACTGACCCAAAGCAGCCTGAAGAGGAATGAGTTAATAGTACATCCCAGAGGAAAGTCCAGGTGGGAGCTTTTGGCTGGAACCTGGAGGCAGGGACTGACAGAGACGGCGGAGGAACGCTGTTTCCTGCCTTGCTTGCATGACTTGCTCAGCCTGCTTCCTTGCACAGTACAGGACCACCTGCCCAGGGGTGGCATCACCCACAGTAGGGTGTGCCCTCGCACATCAGTCATTAAGAAAATGCCCCACAGATATGCCCACAGGCCAGCCCACAGCAGGCAGCCTCTCGGTTCAGGTCTCCTGTCCCGTCTAACTCTAGTTTATTTCAAGTTGACAAAAATTAACCCGTCTAGTTGAAGCTTTTGTCAACCTGACACAAAACTATGTCACCGTTAAACCCTAGTTCCCCTCGTTTCTCTGCAGGGTCTCATGCTAACACCACAGTATAAACTGGAGGTAACATTCGGGCTCTCACAGCCTTGGAGAAAATCCAACACTTTAAAAGTTCAAGGTCTGCTGGGCTGCTGCCTTCCTCTTCCCCCAGCTGCCTCTGGGCCTTGGCAGCTCTCCTTCACGGGCTGATTTCTCTCTGAATCCAGGGACTCTGGCCCAGGTGTTCGGCCTCTACTCTGGGCGTGAAGACTCTCTACAAAGATGTCATCTCTAGACTCTGGTGGCCCTTGCCCTGTAGCATCTTGGCTGGACCTGGAGTTGATGTGAAGCAGGTCCACAAGCTGAGGCAGCTGCCGAGGCACGAGTGGGCTGGGCACAACGCTGTGGTAAGAGGACTGGATGGATGGACAGCTGGCAGAGAAGGACAGCAGGACCTTGTCACAGCTGGCACTGAGCCAGGCTGCCCTCCTCCCAGACCTCTTCAGCTGCGGGAGTCATGGCCTGCTGTGGCTCCACCTCCAAACACCTCTGCATTGTAGTTCTGCCTTCTGCCGGACCGACCGTGACAGCGCCTCCTCTTGGAGCTGCTGTCATCCCGTGTCACAGGGAGTGTGGCCCCCCAAGAAGGAATGACAAACCAGTGAGGTTCTTTGGCCACTGTGAGGAGATTTTAACTGAAGTGGGAGGGAGTGCTCCAGCTCTTTTTTTTTTTTTTTTGGTTTTTCGAGACAGGGTTTCTCTGTGTAGCTTTGCGCCTTTCCTGGGACTCACTTGGTAGCCCAGGCTGGCCTCGAACTCACAGAGATCCGCCTGGCTCTGCCTCCCGAGTGCTGGGATTAAAGGCGTGCGCCACCACCGCCCGGCTGCTCCAGCTCTTTATCAGCTGCAGGCCTTTATGACTGGATCTGTAATGCAGCACATTTCATTAAATGGAGCTGCTTTCCTCATGCCGTAGACAACTGAAATGAGATTTAACTCAGGTAGCTTTTTGAGTGGCTATTAGACCTGCAGATAAAGGTGTCTGGTCTCGCTGCTGTGCTGTTTTGACACAGACACTGCAGAGGTACCGGGATGTTTAAATGATGTGAAGCAATATTGGAAAAGAAGCTACGGGTACATTGTCACCAGCCCATCCAGCTGCTCCCTGTTTCAGGACACCTTGCAGCTCTTGGACATAGCATGTGGACACACCGTCACCAGCCCACCCAGCTGCTTCCTGCTACAGCCCTTGGACACAGCAGCCGAGCAGAAGCAAAGGCTTCTCCAGTCATCCTTGCATTTGGTCAGGCGCAGATCCCTCTCTCTTGGGCAAAGACAAGGGGCCTGGCAGCTTGTAAGTGTGAATGGCAAGTTCCTCAGAACTCCCCAGTGGTCACGGACCTTATGCCTCAGCCCTAATGCTGTGCAGATGCTAACACACCTGAAGAATTCCAAGTACAGATGCTGTGAAATGAAGAAGTGTTATCCTCACTCACAGCAGCTGTTGCTTTGTGTGAGGATGTGAAGAATCGCTCGAAGAACGTTCTTCAGAGTATACACCAGCGGAGGACACAGCCTGCCAAAGGGGAACACCCATCCCACGAGCTCTGGGGAGCTGAGAACATGCTTACTTCTGCTCCACTATTCTGTGGTGGGAATGATAGTGTTTGTAATGGCAAATTCAGGAAGCTTCAGGGCCAGCATGGTGGCTCACACCTTCATGGAGGCAGAGGCAGGCAAATCTCTGAATTCAGGGCCAGCCTGGTCTACATAGTGAGTTTCAGGCCAGCCAGGGCTAGCTACATAGAAAGACCCAGTCAAAAAAATAAGTAAGTAAATCAATAGATAAATAAATCTTCCAGATTATTTGGTATTTCTGTCTTTTCACAGAAAGTAATTGGGTTTCTTTTGGGGCCTGGACATGCTAGGCCAGGTGTGACTCTTCATTGGAGCAGCTGTCTTCAGGAAAAAAAAAATCCATCCAAAGAAATAATTTGATACAAGTGTTTGCAGAGGTGAAAATTTCTAATGTACATAAGAAACATCACTGAAGTAGAATATAATTTTAAATGATGCTTGAAAAGAGGTGGACTATCAAAATATAGGCCAGTGATGGCGCGTGATTTGAATTAGTGAGTTGGACTTTGCCCACCATGCTAAATTCCTTCTTTCCCTTTGGGTAATATTTCCACCGTAAATCATACCGTGGTAAAGTGTGAGTGTGACTTCAGGGTGTTGTTTGGATCTTAGATGGTCTTTTAATAGAAAACCTAGAGCCAGATATCAGGGTGAAAGCTGAAAGATCAGAGAAGCAGAGCAGTCAGCCACTAGTTCTTACCTCTGTGAAATCCTCAGCCTAAAGAGAGTGAGTTCCTGTTTCCTCATACCTTATACACCTTTCTCCGCCCTGCCATCACTTCCTGGGATTAAAGGCGTGTGTGCTCTCCAGTACTGGGATTAAATGTGTATGCCACAACTGCCTGGCTCTGTTTCCAGTGTGGCCTTGAATTCGCAGAGATTCAGATGGATCTCTGCCTCCCGAGTGATAGGATTAAAGGTGTGTGCCACCACTGTCTGGCCTCTATATCTAATCTAGTGGCTGGCTCTGTCCTCTGATCCCCAGATAAGTTTATTAGGGTTCACAATATATCACCACATCAAGGAAAGCTACATATATCCATTTGCAGGAGAATTGGATGCAGTATTTAAGAAAGGCAGAAGCAAGACCAAGTATAGTGGGATATTTTTGTTAATATTATTTATAGAATAGTTAAACATTTTCAGTAATTTTTTTTTTTTTGGTTTTTCGAGACAGGGTTTCTCTGTGTAGTTTTGGTGCCTTTCCTGGATCTTCCTCTGTAGACCAGGCTGGCCTCGAACTCACAGAGATCCTCCTGCCTCTGCTTCCCGAGTGCTGGGATTAAAGGCATGCGCCACCACTGCCCGGCTTCAGTAATTTTCTTTAAAAAATTCATCCGAGGAAATAACTTGACACAAGTGTTTTGCAGAGGTAAAAATTTTTAATGTTCATAGGAAACATCACTGAAGTAGAATATAATTTGAAATTGATGCTAAGTAAGTCTCCTAAGACTATTCTAATCTTATCAGACTTGTTTTAGGTGTGTAGTAATGAACAGAGAAGTCATATGGACAGAGCTGGAAGTTCTTACATGTTACCTAGTTGTGGTTTTCAGTTGGCTTCCATTTTTATATTTTGTTTGTTACTCTATAACAAACAAAAGTGTGCCTTGTGGTGGTTTGGATTCCTTTCTTTTTAAAAATACTTTATTCTGGTTGATTTAGTTTTATAGATTTGAATTTGTTTCAAAGAAATTCTGAGTCCGGTTGAATGTCATGAAAATATTTGTTACCATAAACAAAATTCTTGGGACTTAGAAAAAGTAAGTTAAATAATTTTTTAGTCCCAAAGGGAAGAACCAAAGCATAAAAACAGCCATGCTCAATCAAAGCCCAGCAGTGCTTCCCCGGATCTTGTAGCTCGTTGTCTGGCTTCTGGGGCTCACGTACGATCTTCTGGGCTCTGCCGTCCATAACAGCTTGTCTTGTAGGTGAGGCCAGCCCCACTCTACCTGCTGCTGTCCTGGGTGCTCACCTCATGGTCCTGGCATCTCCAGTATTCTGGAGTCTCCACTCAAGTTGAGGCCGTATCCACCAGTGGCCTCTCCTGGCTTCTGACATTGCCACACCTCAGCTTGCCTTCATGGCCTCTTCAGCCCTTGGGGTTTCTGTTGCCACAGAGGCTGCACCTTCAACAGTGGCCTCTCCTGGATCTCACAGTGCCGAGCCTCTGCTCTTCATGATCCCTTCACGCCTTCAGGCTAGTGCTTGTGAAAGGCTTACACACTGTTTACCAAGCCCTGCTGCCAGCCCTATGTGCAGTCCTTCCCGCTGGGCACAGCTTCTACGTGCTGATCCTGAGGAAGATTTTGTTTCAGCTGCTGCTCTCTTGTTAATCACAGCCAAGCTAATTATCATTGATTGTCCTGGTGAAGCAAAGATTTACTCCCACAGATAGTTAATTATTAAAGTCTGTCGTATGAATGGCCCTCATACCTCTGTGCTTCTCTCTTTGTAGGCCAGACCTGTACTGTCTGCTCTGGGGGGCTCTTGATGTGTAATGAGGGGATTCAGTGTCTGCAAAGCTGAGGTGTCCTAAACTCTGCTTTCTCTTCGGCAAGGAGGGACAGATGATTATCTCATTGCCTGCGAGCTGTCTGCTCACCACGGACACTGTGATTCGAAGCTCCTTAGGGCCCTACATTAAGAAGTAAGTGACCACACCCGCACACCTGGTGCCAGTGCTGTGCCTTGAAAGTGTCGGCCATTGACCGATGTGTCATGGCTGAGAGGGCGTGAGGACCCAGCTCTTGTCTGGCCGAGAAATACTGGGTGCTATTTGAAAGGTTTATCCTCTTCTAGGCTTGTTCTGAATGCACTGTGAACTGTATTTCTAAGGTCTTCAGTAGGCTGCCTGGGATGTGGGTGTGAACCCTGTTCCTTAGGAAGTGAGCATGAGATGGGATGGTGTACATGATGAAAGTCTTACAGATGCTACTTCCCTGTCTTGCTTCACTCTATTGTACCTGCTTGACTTCTTCAGCTGTGAATGGATTTGGCATGAGGGAGGAGTTGGATTTAGTTAGGGATGAAGGCAGTGTAGGCTGAGAGCCTTGTTCTGCGCACATGCTGGAGAGCCTTGGTTTTGGAGCATCCTGAGGGCAGTGAGTGAGAGTCTCAGCAGAAGTGATTTCTACATTTTGAGGGTTAAATCAAAGATTGTGTTTTTTCTAACCCAAGCACTCCCTCAACCCCCACACACACATATTCTTTATGGGCCTGTGTAGAGGCAAGGATGCTCTGAATGCTTATTTTCTGAATCATTCAGAAATTGCAAGTAGAATGAGTGGTACCATGGGAATTTGAATTTTAAAAGATGATGATAACATCGCTGAGTCTGTTTATACCGTAGGGGCTGATATGTGAGTAATTGTAATTTGTGTTAGAACCTAGAAGTTTAAGAACAAAAGCTCGAAGATTCCATCAGTGTATAATGAGCAGACACAGTTCCTGTCTCAGTAGGCATTATCCAGTAGAACTTCCAGCAACGGTGGAGATGCTTTGTTTTGCATTATCCAAGATGTGAATCACAAATGCCTGTTGAGTAACTGGAATGTGACTTGTTTTTACTAAAGAATGACTCTTAAGCACTGCTTAACTATAACTAATTTAAATTGAAATAGTTCTGTGAGCCATAGTTCACTGGGTTGGATGCTGCATCTCTGAATCTTTCTATCCCTCTGGACTCCCCGTAGTTCATCTTTACAAGATGAAATCCAGGAGCTTATAGAAAAAGCTTTTAGCTGGGTGGTGGTGGTGGCGGGTGGCGGCGGCGGCGGTGGCGGTGGCGGTGGCGGCGCACGCCTTTAATCCTAGCACCCGGGAGGCAGAGACAGGCAGATCTCTGAGTTTGAGGCCAGCCTGGGCTACAGAGTTCCAGGACAGCCAGAGCTGCTACACAGAGAAACCCTGTCTCAGAAAACAAAGTGGGGCAGAGGGAGAAAGAAAAGCTTCAACAGGAGAACCAGGCTGGAAACAAGATTTTTTTTGTTGCAAAGCAAATTCTACTTACTAGCCATGGAAATGGCTTTGGTGGGAGAGAGAACATAGACCATGTTGGGCGTGCTCTGGAGGGGCTCAGCCGTGGGAAAGATGCCTCTGTCTTGGGTGGAGTGTGGACAGCTTGAGCACAGTCCCTCGGAAGCAAACCACACTGTTTGGCCGAGTCTACACTTTAATTCCTTCAATTTGTCTTTTCATTTACAAGGTGGAAGCCTCCTCCATCTCCTCTGCTGGCCCTGTGCACTTTCCTAATCTCAGAGAAGCATGCAGGCGGTCAGTCCCTCTGGAAGTCCTACCTGGACATTTTACCCAAGTCGTACACCTGCCCGGTCTGCTTGGAGCCGGAAGTGGTAGATCTTCTGCCCGAACTTTTAAAGGCGAAGGCGGAAGAACAGAGAGCCCACGTGCAGGACGTGTTTGCCTCCTCCAGAGCCTTCTTCTCCACCCTGCAGCCTCTGTTTGTAGAGTCTGTGGAGAACATTTTCAGCTACAGCGCCTTCCTGTGGGCCTGGTGCACCGTGAACACCAGAGCTGTGTACCTGAGGTCCAGGAGGCAGGAATGCCTTTCCGCAGAGCCAGACACGTGTGCTCTTGCTCCGTACCTGGATCTGCTGAATCACAGCCCACACGTCCAGGTGAGAAGCTGGCGTGGACGTGTGTCCTGTTGGTATAGAATTGCAACGTGTAGAAACAAGGATTTTGAATGAAGAATGAGACAGTGGAGGTGTAACCTGCTCCAGGTAAACGTGTTAGACCAATCTGCCGTCAGCTGCCCGGATGTCATTCTAGCAAGTGTCCCCTTTGCCTTTGTAACTGCTCTCTGGCCTGCAGGGCCCTGCGCAGAGACCCTGGGCCTTTCACCAACCCAGACGGAGTCTTTCCTTCCTGCCCTTCAGGGCTGGGGTGCCGGCCAGCTTTCCTTCCTGTTCTTCAGGGCTGGGGTGCCGGCCAGCTTTCCTTCCTGCCCCATCCCTTTCATGTTATATTACACGTGCTGGCGGGAGGTCCTGGCGGGTAGAGCCAAGGTGCCCCACGGGGAGTGAGAGACAGAGATGTCATGCATACAGTGCTCAGTGAAGAGTTTTATTCACTGGTGGGGAGAGAGGGGTGAGGGGTTCGAGAGGTGCCAAGGAAAGTGGAAGAGAAGAGAGCAAGCGAGAAAATGGGCGGAGTTTCCCTTTAAGAATAGGCTTCTACGCCAGGGCATAGGGTGGCACCAAAGGGCGGGATCAGAATGTTAACATGTCACACTGGGTGTAGCCGTCTGCACGTGTGTCTTTGTCCTGACGGGGTGTTGTCTGTGCCTCCTCGGTGAACCCAGGTCTTGAGGCTTTCTGCTGTTCCTCTTTGAAGCCTCAGTGCCCAGGGCTTGGTTATGGAACAGACGAGACCCTGTGTGACCAGGAGTCTGGGGGTCAGGGAAGAGGGCCGGAGGTCAGGGATTGAGTCAGGTTTATTCACAGGTGAGATCAATACGGTACACTCGTGAACAGAACAAAGGTGTGTCGCCGCTGCCGCTGCTGCCGCTCCTCATCCCGGTCCCAAGGGACAGTGGGAAGGTCACCAGGCCATGCCTTCAGCAAGCCCTCCACAGTCCAAGAGAGAGCACCCCCTTCTAACTGGTCATGTCTCTTTAGAGAAGACCATGCCCATTGGGCCAGGCCGCTACCTACTGTTGGCTAGCGGGCCGGAGTCAATAATTCCCACAAGTCACGATGCCCCCCTCAGCCCTTCCCCCACTGGCTCACACTGGAGATACGTGTTTGCATGGCATGCTGGGAGAAGGACGAGGTGAGAAAGGCCAGGCTCGGAGGGCAGAGAGGAAGCACTCTGTCAGCTCACCCGAAACCTATCTAGGGTGCACTGGGTTGGGATCTGCACCTTTGCTGTCCACTAAGAGACATGCCACCAGAAGACATCAGTGTCACCTTGTCACCTCACAGGGCAGTGGGAGGACCCAGGGAGGTCCTGCTTGTCCTGGGATGACCCCCGCCTGGGCATTTCCCACAGTCTCCAGAGTGTGAGTGCAGTGCTAGGTGAAAGGTCATAGCACAGTCTCTCCAGTGTGAGTGCAGTGCTAGGTGAAAGGTCATAGCAGTCTCCAGTGTGTGAGTGCAGTGTTAGGTGAAAGGTCATAGGATGTTGGGCACAGGGACTCAGTCCCCAGCAGCCTCGCTTTGGTTTCATTGGAGTGTTTGTGGATGTCTGTACTTCAGTGATTTTATAGACTACCCTAGAAGAACACAGCCACAGCTGGTTGATGGGAGCCTGAGAGCCTGAGCTGCAGAAGACCCCTCCCTATAGGCTCAGGGACTGTAAACAAATGAAACTTGGGAGTTGGGGAAGTCCTTGCAGCTTCTTAGTACTAAGGGGTCTCAGTGCCACCGTATTTTCTTCCCTGGGCTGTTTGTGACAGATCCACTCCTGACCAGAGTCAGATGTCATATTTTGGGTCATTTTCAGAGTCCGTGGTTGGACCTCCTCTCTCAATAGGTAAAGGTGAGATGAAGGAGGACCATTCGCCACCTGTGACTGACTTTGTCGTCCACAATTGATGGGATAACTTGGTGAGCCTTTTAGATTTATGCTGAAAAGAGAAATCTTCTCCCTTTCCCCTGTAGGTCAAAGCAGCGTTCAACGAGAAAACCAGCCGCTATGAGGTTAGAATGGCCTCCGGCTGCAGGAAGCACCAGGAAGTGTTCATCTGCTACGGCCCCCACGATAACCAGCGGCTGCTCCTGGAGTACGGCTTCGTCTCCTTCTGCAATCCTCACGCCTGTGTTCCTGTCCCAGGAGGTTGGTGTTGCTCCCTGAGGCAGTGCTGTCCCCTGTTGTAGAGAGAGAGGCCGTGCATGCAACGCTCACTGGTCTCGGGCAAGCTAGCCTGGCCTTTCCTGATCCGAATCTCTGGGTTGCAGTCAAACCTGCAAAACTGACTGATACTGAGGGCGGGGTGAGCTAGAAGGTCGAGTAGGGGGGAAGCTGGTGGGGAGTGAGTGACAGTCATGGCTGGAGGGGCGGGTCTTTGTACTGAGCAGAAACTTAGTGAGCACTTAGCAGAAGCAGCTCTAAGCCACGGGGGGGGGGGGGGGGGGGGGGGGGGGGGGGGCAAGTGGCCGGAGGTTTCCCCGAGGTATTTATGTGTAGGCTCGGATGAACCCGGTGGGCAGAACAACAGTTACGTTTCTTAGATTAAAGAGAGAAGAGCCAGAACTGGGCCAGAGATGGGTCAGTGGGTAAAGGGCCTTGCCACAAAGCCCGATGACTTGAGTTCAATCCTCAGGACCCACAGGGTGGAAGGAGAGAACTGACTTCTGCAAATTGTCCTCTGACCTTCACACGTGTGTGTGGTACACACACACAGCACATAAAATAAATACATGTAATAATTTAAAGAAAAATGAGAGCAGGGGCGTGTGAAGTGAGTTAGAGCAGCTTTGAGATTGTCTCATTCAGAGTCCTTGCAGTTACCATACGGTGGGTCTAACCGTGGACAGTTGCCAGGTAAGCCCATTGAACGACTACATTCAGTTATTTGTACATTTAAAAATGGAGTAGGGCCTGAGGATCCGCTCAGTGGCAGGACAACGGCCTGGTATATGCAAGGCCTTCACCGAAGGAAAGGGAGGGCTTGCTTTAGTCAGAATTATACCCCAAATCCCTTTTTTGTTTTTGTTTTTATAAAATGCAGAACTGAAGCCTATCATCACCTCAGAAACAAAACAGAAATCCTTTGCTTTCTTTCTCCTTCAAAAACATTTATCAGTTTTCACAATTCACTCTGTGGCTACAGTCACGGATGCGTGGACTGCTTTGCATCTGGCTTGTGAACAGTATTACCGTCCTTCCTCCCTGCCTTCTTGGGCAGCCTGTTCCTGGCCGTGGCTGTAGGGTCTTCGCCTGTTACACTGTGGATGGACTTAGTGAGGATGTGAGCCTCGCTTCTCCCTATTCTGTCCTCAGCCTTGGAAACCGTAACAGCCTTTCGGGGACCGAGATTTCTGCGAGTTGCCCTGAGGAGAACACTTAGTGTGAACTAGGAAACACTCTTGGTTGTACAGGGTGGTAATGGGCGGGAACGTGGGCTGGAGGAGAGGGGCATGTACTTTGTCTGAAGTATATCCTACTCCGACATTGATTTTCTGTTTCCTGTAGCGACGCTGGTTAAGTACCTCCCACCAGCAGATAAGCAGGTGCACAAGAAGATGTCCATTCTGAAGGATCATGGCTTTACAGAGTGAGTGTCCTTCTACCTGGGAATGACCCCTTGAGGACGTTCCCCTGAAAATCGTGAGGGTTCTGGTTTTGTGCCTCTGTGTTAGTGGACAGGTGGCGTCCATTAGGTCTTACTGTGTAGTACAGTTGTGCTCGGTGTTGTAGACACTCAAGGACCGTAAGACAGCTGCTCGGGAATGTGAGAGCCAAGCTTGACACAGTCCTGTGCATGTCGTTAGGTGGGTCAGGTTCAGGTGGGATAGCCCTGGGTTATCACAAGCCAGGCTGACCCCTAGCAGAACCCACCGCTGGCATCAGTACAGATCGGGGGCAGTGAGAGACAAGACATTTCTCTTCTGTATAAAGCAGGGTTTTCACGTGTAGCAACAGTGTGAGGCTGCCGGCTGAGGTAGCTGTGTGTGTTTGCTCTCCAGGATGACCTAAGGCCTCCCCTGTTCATCTCACTGTAAACTATGTGGTGTAGTTACCAGGCCTCTTGCTGTGGTCCCCTAAACCAAGTTCAATGTCTTACTAAAACTGATTGGAAAATGGCTTTTCACCCTTGTCGTAGGGTTACTATTACTGTGATAAAACACCATGACCAAAAGCAAGTTGGGGAGGGAAGGGTTTATTTGATCTACACTTCCACATCACTGAAGGCAGTCAGGACAAAAACTCAAACAGGTTAGGAACCTGGAGGCAGGAGCTGGTGCAGAGGCCATGGAGGGGTGCTGCTGACTGGCTTGTTCCTCATGACTTGCTCAGCCTGCTGATAGAAACCCAGGACCACCCGCCCAGGGATGGCACCACCCACAGTGGGCTGGGCCCTCCCCCACCAATCACTAATTAAGAGTCCTGTAGGCCTGCCTGTAGCTTGATCTTATTGAGGAATTCTCTCAGTCGAAGCCCCCTCCTCTCCACTGACTCTGGCTTGGGTCAGGTTGACAAAACTACCCAGCATGACCTGGAATGGTCAGAACACAAACTCCGTTTGTGTGGATGAAGCACAGGCTGTTCTGTACCCAGCCTCCTTCACAGTATCCACATCTCACTTCCTCACACCATCTGACCTTGTGTGGAGGTGACCTGCTGAGTGTGCCCATTCACAGCCACGGCTGGGTTCCTTCGGTGTTCGTCTGAGTGACAGATCTGGTGTTGCCCGCTTTTCTCTCATAGAAATTTGACATTTGGATGGGATGGACCGTCTTGGAGGTTACTCACAGTTCTCAAGTTGTTGTGTCTGGAAGCTGAGAAATTGTAAGTTCCACCTGCATCGCTCTTTTTTGTCTTTTTTTTTTGGAGACAGGGTTTCTCCGTGTAGCTCTGGCTGGCCTGGAACTCACTGTAGACCAGGCTGGCCTTGAACTCAAAGATCTGCCTGCTCTGTCTCTCGAGTGCCAGGATTAAAGGTGTGCGCCAGCACCGCCAGGCTCCTGCATTGCCTTTAATCTGTGCCTGCTTCTTGGTGAAAATTGAAGGGGTTTGTTTGGGAGGCTTGCATGTCGAGGGACAAAGAGGAGACTGTGCCCTGGAGCTGCTGCTTTGACTGGCCCGCCCAACCTTTGAGAGTGCACGCTCTGAGAACTTAGCACTCTCTGTTCAGGTATCCCCTGGGGACCTGGTGCTTACAGTCTGAGTAAGTGACTGGGGTCTGTCAGCCCTGACAAGTCAGAGGCGCATCTCTGAGGAGGTGGGTTTTCCTGTGGCAAGCAAGCTCCTGACTCTGCCCTATCTGGCCCCATGTTTCCCCCACCCGGTTCTACCCTGGGGTTGATCTAGAAGTCCTGCTGAAGGGCTTTTCCACGAGAGGAGCCCCAGTGTAGACATGCATTCTGGTTAGCTCCGTAAGATTCCCAAGGGACTGTCAGTCACGTCTCAGAGCTGTCAGTCTCATGGTGTGCTCTGGTCATCTCAGGGCCTCCCCCCGGCCCAGGACTGATGAGGACAGCAGCTACCTTGCTGCTGCCCAGTATGCTGGGCAGGTGTCCAGCAGTGGTAGGAAGAGCCCCAGCACAGCTCTGTCGTCCTTAGCAGTTTTACTCTTTCTTTTGGGGACTCAGAAGTCAAGTTTCTCCCTGGTCTTAGTACCAGAAATGGAGTTGATCATGGACAGCACAGGTTTGCACTGGGCAGATTCATTTACGTGGGAATTAAATTTAAAAAAAAAAATTGCATGCTAGGTGGTGGTGGCCCATGCCTTTAATCCCAGCATTTGGGAGGCAGAGCCAGGCAGATCTCTGTGAGTTCAAGGCCAGAGCGAGATCCAGGACAGGCACCAAAACTACAGAGAAACCCTGTCTCGAAAAACCAAAAATACATAAACAAATAAACAAACAAACAAATAATTGCACATAGAAGTATTGAAAAATTTAAGAAAAAGTTAATTCCGGATAAAGAAAAATAGAAAAACATGTATACATAGTTGTCTATTTTATCATTTACTACTGTATGTAGGCAAGTGTATCATAAAAAGTCAAAAGTTTTCAAAATTGATGAATAGCCTATAGACTGTAGATGGCGCTCGTCTTGGTCAGTGTTCTGTTGCTGTGGAGGGACACCATGACCACGGCAAACTCTTTTCAAAGAAAGCATTTACCTGGGGCTTGCTTACATTTTTAGAAGGTATGGTGGTTTGAATAAGAATGGCCCCATGGACTCATGTGTTTGCTCGCTTGGTCTATAGGGAGTGGCACTGTTAGGAGGTGTGGCCTTGTTGGAAGTGTGTCACTGTGGAGCTGGCTTTGAGGACTCAGATGCTCAAGCTAGGCCTAGTGTGGCACACAGTCTCCTTCTGCTGCCTGCAGGTCAAGATGTAGAACTCTCAGCTCCTTCTCCTTCACCATGTCTGCCTGCATGCCACCATATTTCCCACCGTGATGACAGTGGACTAAACCTCTGAACTGTAAGCCAGCCCCAATTAAATGTTCTCATTTATAAGAATTGCTGTGGTCATGGTGTCTCTTCACAGAAATAGAAACCCTAAAAAAGTCAGAGGTTTAGTCCATTTTCATCATGGCGGGGAGCATGGTGACATGCAGGCAGATGTGGTGCTGGAGAGGTGGTTGAGAGTTCTACATCTGGATCTGTAGGCAGCGGAAGGAGAGAGCCGCTGGGCTTGGCTTGGGCTTTTGAAACCTCAAAGCCCACCCCAGTCACACAGTTCTTCCACCAAGGCCACACCCACCCCAACAAGGCCATGCTGATGACTAAGCATTCAAATATATGAGCCACGGAGGCCATTCGACCCCCACAGCGCTGTTTCCAGTCAAGAGGACACACAGATGTAAAGATGTAATAGTAATTCATAACTGCATTCAGTCAGCCTCAGGAGTGACGGGGCATTGCCTGGTTATTGCCTGGTGACTCAGCAGCTACAGTGAGTTCCAGCTCCCGGAGTCTCCATGCAGCTCCTCATCTTTGCCGGTCCTAGTTTGATAAACCACACGATTAAATGCAGTTTGGGAAGGAAAGAGTTTATTCTGTCTTACAGCTCCTGGGTTCCCGGGAAGTTGGTGCAGGAACTCAAGGCAGGCACCTGGAGGCAGGATTGAAACAGGAACGAGACTCACTGGCTTGCTCTTCAGGCTCACATTCAGCTACCTTTCTTATGCTTCCCAGGACTGCCTGCCTAGGGAGAGCACCACCCACGGTGGGCTGGAGCTCTCCCATCAGTCATTCATCAAGACAGTGCTCCATAGACTTGCCTACACACCAAGCCAATGGAGGTGTCTTCTCAGTAAGGTTCCCAGATCTCTAGCTTGTCAGACTGACAGAAGCCCGCTAGCACCCGATGAGTTTCTGTCCACTGAATTAGCATTACAGGAAAAAGTGATCTCTGCACTCTTTCTTTTTTCTCCTTCTGTAGTGTGTATAACCTATGTGTGTGTTGATTCCCATCGTTGAGTTGCTAAGGCATCTCCTAGTCCACAGCATGCTACTGCTGTGGTTCTGTAAAAGGCGGAAGATTTATACAGCCTGAAGATAGACCAGTGGATAGTCCCTGCATATGGGTGGGGGGAGTTCGATTGTGTGCGCCCCACCCCCTCGTCCAGGTGTCCGCTCTAGTGCAGTCACTTTTAGTGGATGCCGTGTTTTACCTTAAGAGAGTGAGCTCTGCGCCTGGGGTCTCTCCTTCCTTGTGTTGTTCCCTAGGCGGATGTGTAGTCAGCCCAGCGCACAGCGTGAGCACAGGAAGGGCTTGGCTGGCCACTGCTCCTGTCTGCACAGGAAGGGCTTGGCTGGCCACTGCTCCTGTCTGCACAGGAAGGGCTTGGCGGGCCACCGCTCCTGTCTGCACAGGAAGGGCTTGGCTGGCCACCGCTCCTGTCTGCACAGGAAGGGCTTGGCGGGCCACCGCTCCTGTCTGCACAGGAAGGGCTTGGCGGGCCACCGCTCCTGTCTGCACAGGAAGGGCTTGGCTGGCCACCGCTCCTGTCTGCACAGGAAGGGCTTGGCGGGCCACCGCTCCTGTCTGCACAGGAAGGGCTTGGCTGGCCACCGCTCCTGTCTGCACAGGAAGGGCTTGGCGGGCCACCGCTCCTGTCTGCACAGGAAGGGCTTGGCTGGCCACCGCTCCTGTCTGCACAGGAAGGGCTTGGCTGGCCACTGCTCCTGTCTGCACAGGAAGGGCTTGGCTGGCCACTGCTCCTGTCTGGCTCTCTCGTCTTGTCTTCCCTCCTCTCACTTGCCCTTGTCCTGTGCCCCTTGTTCATTCACTGATCATTTCATTTGATCTTGTGTGGACCCTGTGGGAACAAGGTGTGTGTGTGCATCCTTTTAGGGCCAAAGCAGCAACTGTTTGCAGAGGTCATTCCCAGATTCATTTTCTCCCTTTGGGTCAGTTACATGAGGCACGGTCGGGGTTCTGGCTGGGTGTTTGCGGGCCATCTCTCCTCCCCGATGTGCCTTGTGAGGTAGGGCCTCCACCTTTCCCAGTTTTCTTTCTTTGACTCTAAAAGGGATGGTATGTTATATTTGTAGGGAATTATGAAGATTAAGCTAGATAATCATTACAGAGAGAACACTCAGGTACCCAGTAATTCTTGGTTCTCTTGTGTAGTAAGTCGTCATAAGCTGACGTCCATCTGTTACCTGAGCTGTCTTGTCAGAGGTTGGGAGTGTCTGTCTGCAGTGCACACTCTGATTTGCGGGTTCAGCCACTGTCTTACGTCCTTCTAAGTCACTCCCACAGGCCCCTGATTTCCCGCCTCCAGTCTGCCCCTCTGTCCTTTCCCTGACCACTGCTTCTTCCAAGCAGAGAGACTTGGCTTTGACCTCTTCTGGCTTTGAGACCTCTGGCTCCTTGGTTGCTGTCTCCACAGACCTAGGGTCTTGTGATCATAGAACATTGGCCTCATCTTCCCTCACAGCCTCACCCCTGCAAGCCGAGGCAGCGTCAGGGACTGACCTGCTGCAGACGCCCGTATGGAGGGCATTTGGTAGTGAAATGTGTTCTTGGCTGTCACCGTTCAGGAGAAACTGTCACTTACAGCCAGGGGGCAGACAGCGCCTCCGCTGCTGAGTCTTGGGCCGGCCGGTGCCCAGCCTGGCCTTCCTGCCGTCTCTTCTCGGCCTCTGTGTCCTGGAGCTGATGGCTGTGGCTCCAGTTACTGTTACACCAGACACAGGATTGCCGTGGGAATGTAATTCAGTCACAGCTGGTGACGTGCACGGACCTAGTGGCCCCTTTGGCTACTCTTTCTTCCTCTGTTTCTTGTGTGTTTTAGTTAGGGTTTCCCTCGCTGTGAAGAGACACCATGACCATGGCAACTCTAATAAGGAAAACATTTAATTGGGGTGGCTTGCTTATAGTTTCAGAGTTTCAGTCCATTGTCGTCATGATGGGGAGCACGGCGGCATGCAGGCAGACATGGTGCTGGCTACATCTTGATTAGAAGGCAACAGGAAGTGGACTGTGTTACACTGAGCGAAGCTTGAGCAAAAGAGACCTTAGAGCCCGCCCCCCCCCCCAGTGACACACTTCCCCCAACAAGGCCACACCTACTTCAATAAGGCCACACCTCCTAATAGTGCCATTCTCTAACTTATGGGGGCCGATTACATTCAAACTACCACACTGTGGCTTCCATTCAGGAACTGCAATGATATTACAGGTTTAGAGGATGAGCCTCACTGTGCTCAGGAAGAACAGGGACATGGCTTGTGTGTCATGCTGCAGGGTGAATGCTGTCTCCAGTAACTGGGGGACCTGCTGAAATGATCTTATTGGACATTCTGGTTCTAGTACATCCTGGAAAAAAGTACTCCTTGGAGAAGTCATCTCAGATACAAATGAGAAGACAAGCTTGGACATGGCACAGAGAATATGCTCTGACTTCATCGAAGAGACTCATGCTGTGCTGCGTAAGGTGTGTGCCCCGATGCTACTTGGACACAAGGTTCCAGTCCCGAGGCTGCTTGTCATGCATGCTGTTAGGAAAGTCTTGAGAATCTCCGATGAGCAAATGTTTTGTCATCTCTATAGCTGTGTTAACAGAGTTTAAAGTTATGGTGCCAGGGAGACGGCCCAGCGGGTGACGTGCTTGCTGTGCTAGTGTGAGGACCTGGGTTCAGATCCCCAACACACTTGTAACACACGTGAAAGTTGGGTGTGGCAGCATGTGTGCCTGTACTCAGTGCTGGGTGTGGGATAGGTCAATTTAGTGGAGACAGGAGAATCCTGAAGGTTCACTGGCGGCCAGCCTAGTCCAGTGAGCTCCAGATTAGGTGAGAGACCGAGACTCACTACAGGCGGACAGCAGTAGAGGCTGGGACTCAGTGTCAGCCTCTGGCGTCTGCGTGTGCAGGCGTGGGCCAGTCTGGAAGGTTTACAGACAGTGTGCGATGCACGACGATGCTTCGCTGCACACTCACCTTGTGGAGCTGCTTGGTCAGACCGTTTAACGGCGTTATCCACGCGGGGGCTCTTAGTCTGTTCCTTGATGTGCGCTGGGTGTCTAGTTCCTAACCAAGGTCACAGGTTGAACAGGGAACTCTGGGGTCTGTTTCTCTTCTCTAGCCAAACTCTGTTTTGTGACATTCAACCCGATGTCCTCCAGACAAATAGGGTCTCCTGTTCTCCCCACTTTTTTGTGACCCTGGGGATGGGACACAGTCTAAACCCGAGCCCGTCACCTCCCTCCTTTCTGTTTAAGACGATACCGTTGTGTAAGTTATTAACATTTTTCTTTACTCAGAGTCATCTCCGGGCACTTAGGATGAGTCTCAGCTTTTGCCTCGTGTTTTATCAGTGCTTGATTTCCTAGTGATAGTGTTTCAAATGCTTTTTTCCTATGTGTGTCTTAATTTAATAATTTTTTTGTTTTAATGAGAAATCAGTTCATTTATGAGACTTGACTATTAAAATTAAAAAATTTAGTGCATTTTGAAGATTTTATGCTAAATGAAACTACAAAAGGACACGTACTGTCCACTTACAGGGGTTCCCAGGCCAGGCAGATTCACAGGGCCTGGGGGAGGGGAGCTGGCTTACTCACTCATCCTTAGAGGAGTTTTGTTTGAGAGGAGAAAGTGATCTGGGGGACTTGCGGCCACTGACCATCTGTCTCAAAGCAGTTAAATCGGTGAATTCTATAATGCATTTCTATTATAATGAAAAGTTAATAACTTGCAGGTTTCTGACATGAAAGAGAGGGAAGTGTTGCTGATAAATCAACTCACTTTGGTGGAAGCATTGCGGATGGAAGAACTGAGGATTCTCCAGGCTTCCGCTGAGATTGTGAGCAGTTTACAAGCCTCCTTTTTGTGACAGCACAGGACGCATGTGATTCCCTCCTGTGGAGGGTGTGCTTTCTGCATTTTTACTGAGGTTGGAATAAATAGACTTGTATATGAAATTATCGCAGTCTTTGGATGGTTTCTGTTAAGCAGTAATGTGTTTAATATTTCCCCCTCTGCTTTTCTTTTAATTAGTGAACTTTGAAGAGCATCTTCGTGGGATGGAATAGTGGCTGCTCCCCGCACTGGGAAGGCTATCTGCAGGGAGCAGAGGAGGGTTCTAGGCATTGGGTAGCTGAGGACAGATGTACGGCTGAGTTACACTTGTCATTCAGTGGGAAGGAACAGGGTGGAGTGATGAAGGGCAGAGTGGGAAGCTGTAAGGCTGGGCAGCCCATGGCGTCTTCCACGTCATTTCACTCACTGGCTGTTAATGGTCAAGAGGGGAACCACTAAGACTCTCAGGTACTCTTGGCTTAAGGGACAAGTTGGGGCCAGGTGGCTCTGGTGGTGTTGTGAGGGTTGACAGTGTTGGGCCTTCCCCACGTAGACTCACTGAGGGAAGTGAGCTAGGATCCTTCTTGTCTTCCTGAGGACAGCATGCCAAGGGCCTCTTGCAAGCTGCAGGCAGGGAAGGACTGAGTCACACAGGTCTTTCGGCCCTGTCCTGACACTTTCCCTGTGGCATGGTGCCTCTTGTTCCCAGAAGGCTCTGGGAGGAGAAATGGCAGAAGGCACAGGGGCAGGTGTTAGGACCAGTGCGCGCGTGTGTGTGTGTGTGTGTGTGTGTGTGTGTGTGTGTGTGTGTGTGTGTGTGCGCGCGCGCACAGGGACCTGTAAAATACCCGAGCCAGCCTGCACTGAGCCAGCTCCCCCCCCCCCCCCCCCCCCCCCCATGTACGAAACAGTCTTTTTTCTGCAGCTTGCTCTCCTGTCTTCCCGGGTTGTTCAGTTCTGTGTTCATGCCATGGAGTGAACTTGGCAGTCCCCTAGGTGACGGTGGACGCCCCATCCCAGTGACAGTTCAGTCCAGGACGGCTAAAGACACTACGACATTTTGTCTTGTGTCTGTTCTCTGAGTTTTGTCTTTTCTCTCCTAAGACCCAGGGCGCAGAAAAGGGGCAGACATTTTGTCAGTCTGACCTGACCGCCAAACGGGGTCTCTCAGGCAGCCGTGTGCTGCCCGGAGTCCTTTTCTCTCTGTGGAGCCCAGCAGGATGTCGTGAGTGCAAACGGGCGTTCGCAACTGTTTGAACACTTCCCTTGCACATCATTCATACAAGTGTGCACATACACTTGTGTGTGTTGGCTTTTTAAAAACACATTTGTGTGTGCCCATGGGTTTGTGTGTGTGTGTTTTTTTTTGTGTGTTCATCTGTGTGTGTATGTGTGTGTGCCCACATGTGTTTGTGTGTGTGAGTATATGTGTGTGTGTGTGTGTGTGTGTGTGTGTGTGCCCGTGTGTGTGTGCTCCTTATCCCCTGTGGTGTGCTTATGGAGGTCAGAGGACAACTGGTGGGAACTGGGTCTCTCCTTCCACCATGTGGATCCTGGAGACTGAACTCAGGACGTCAGGTTTGGTGGTGTGTGCCCTCACCCACCGAGCCTCTCAGCAACTCAATTCTTTCTCTCTTTTTAAAAATGTCTGTGCCCATGGTATGTGCTTGGCGTGTTGTATGAGTATACTTGTGCTTGTGGTATGTTAATGACGTATTGTATGAGTATACTTACGCTTGTGGTATGTTAATGACGTGTTGTATGAGTATACTTACGCTTGTGGTATGTTAATGGCGTGTTGTATGAGTATACTTGTGTGTGGGGTGCACTTGTGTGTTGCAGGCTGGAGGGCAACCTTGGGTCTTATTTCTCGGGAGTCATCTACCTTATTTTTTTGAAATAGAGTCTCACTGGGGTCAGAGGTTCCCCAGGTGAGCTAGGCTGGCTGGCCAGACAGTCCTAGGGATCCCCAACCTACCTCTGTGTGCTGGGATCACAGGCGTGTGCTGACAGCCCCCCCCCCCAGCCCCTCCATGGATCGAACTCAGGTTCTCATGCTTGCATAGTAAACATTTGATTGACTCCCTAGCCTGTGGTTCTTTTTTTTAACAGCTATGATGTATCCCATGATGCACTAGGCCAGAGTTTGGCAAAATTTCTGTAGAGAGCCAAATATTAAATAGTTTTTAAGTTTCCTGGCTCTTAATGTGGTCTTTGTCCTGGTGTATTGTAGACAGAATCAAGGCCATGGGCAAGCAGGTCACATAGCTGTATTTCAACAAAACTTTGTTTACAAGGACAGGTGATGGGCCGTAGAATTCCTTTATACCATTGGAAACGTAAATCCCCTCGAACATCGGAACTTCCATGGACAACATGTGGTTATTATTGTTTTACTTGTCCAGTGATTAGAAAAAAAAAAATGACACAGTAACACAGCATCCCCCACAGTTCCCTGGACACGGTTACATCTGTAGATGTAATTCTAAACGGTCTTATTAAATAAGAAACACACAGTCAAATACAGAGTTAAAAGCCCAAGAGGTCAGAGCACTAGCGAATGGCCTTTATCTTACTGGTCACTGCCACCCTTCCCCTGAGAGAGAGACCTTCTCCTCCGTGACCCGTCTTTTATTGCCTTTCTGTTCTACCTTCTCATTGGCTTTAAAACCCAACCACATGATTTCCTCATCATTGCCTGTCTATACAGACCTCCAGGCCTCTAGGGTTCGTACTGAGATTAAAGGTTTGGGTCACCGCTTGGCTGTGTCCTTGAACACACAGACTCTGCCTGCCAGATGATCAGATTAAGGGTGTATGTCACCACCGCTGGACTTCTGCTAAATGGTTTGCTTTTAGCTCTGACTCCCAGGCAACTTTATTTATTAACATACAAATAAAATCACATTTCAGCACAAATATCACCTTATACATCGGTGGTATTTTATAGTCACACTTCGTCTGAGTTTATCTGAAGGACGGTTGGGTAGGACTGGTTTGCAGACAGCCCTTGGCAAAAGTGCCGTACAGGTGACAGAAACCACAAACCCCAGGCAGAAGGTCTGGCTCCTGGCAGGGCCGTCTGTGACCTCCAGGTAAGACCATTGTTTCTAGGCCACCCTATCTTGATGCATTCTTAAAAACCAATGGTCACAGCCTCAGACCTGTCTCGCCCACCTCAGGGAGGCCCGGCCAGTGCTGTTTGTCTCCTGCATTTTGAGTACCCATCATGCCCCTATACTCCACTCCTCACACCCCCCCCCCCCCCACTTTCTGCTTTTCTCAGCTGGCGGCCTCACTCACCCGAGGTTTCTATTACATCACCCCCTCTCCCATCTTGCTCCTGAGTTTGTGGGTGGTAAGCCTCCCTCTGGTGCCTTGGCCCCAGGGGATAGAGACCAAGGAGTTAAGTGATGTGATGCCTTCCTCCATCACCCTTCAGGCGAAAGCAGGCTGGCGGTGTCAGCCTTTCAGGCTGGGGCTTTAAGTGCTTTTGCCCCAGGGTAGAAGCTATGGGTGCCTGTTGAGAAGCTGTGGTTCTGAAAATGACCTCTGACCTCAGGGAAGCAGATGCCGACTTGAGGTTGGGATGCCGGCTGGGGGTTGTGGTCAGCAGCAGTCCTGTCCACAGGGTGGGTTAATGTTTGGTCATTTTGTCCCGAGAGGGAAAGTAGAACACACAGTTTGACTTCTTGGCTGGGACCTTTGTCAGGAATGCTACAGGTTGGGTCACTGGGGAGTGAACTTGCTTGTACAGAGCCAAGTGTGAGCCGAAGGGAACATGAACCATGGGAGGGAAGAGGTGGCCCGTGAGCATGTGTGTGTGTGTGTGTTTGTGCTTCCACGTGTGTGCCCGTGTGAGTGTGTGTGCCCGTGTGAGGGTACACAGTGTGTGCCCATGTGAGGGTACATGGAGTGTGCATGTAGAGACTCGTGGTTGATGCTGGGCATCTTGGTTAATCTCCTGCTTCTTTGCCGAGGCAAAGCCTCTCAGATAACTCCAGAGCTCACCAATACTGCTAGTCTGGATGGCCACCTTGCTCCAGGTTCCCATCTCCGCTTGCACACTGGAATCACAAGCAGGCTGGTATACCCACCTGGCATTCTTGTGATCTGGGAGATCCACACTGAGGTCATCACACCTTGGCAAGCACTGTCACCACTTACCGGGGACTAAGGGGGTCCAGCCCCTCAATAGTCCCCTCCCAGGGTCTGGAAAGAAACTACAACCAGCTGATAATTAATCTTTGATGAAAAGAAATGAATCTATGTACACGAAACTCCTTAGTCCATATACTTTATTATTCTGTGTCAGTTACAAGCTTCTATTCTGCTCTCATATTTAGCTCCTTTCTTGCCTGACTTCTCTCTACACTTATCTGCTGTTCCCTCTAGGTTCTATCTTAATTCCTTCATCTAGTTCTGCCCCTTCTAGGTTCTCATCCATCTAGTTCTTTCCCCTATCAGCTCCTCTCCCGTCTCCTTCTCTCCCATCTCGTTCTTCCTCATCTTGTTCTTCCCCATCTGGCTCTTCCTCATCTTCCATCTCGTTCCTCTAGTTCTCTCTTCTAGCCCTTCAATCTAGTTCTTCCCCATCTCGGTTTGTTCCTCTCAAGTTCTTACCCATCTAGTTCTTCCATTATCTTTTCTCTTCTCTGTCCTCTCCTGCCCTGGAAGTCCCGGTATATATACACTTAGAAGCAGTAATCCCTTGGCAATGCAAAGCCAGGCTTCCGGGGTCAAACAGAGGGATGATAATTACAGAGAGGCAATAACCGTTAATTATCATTTGCAACCCCAAAGGGAAGTGATCAATGGGGAAATGAATTAACTAAAGGCTAAATTCGGGTAATATTTAAGAAGAGGGATCTTATGTGCTCAACTATCGTCTTAAATGTGATTAGTAGAAAATGTTAAGAATCTATAAGTTGCTAGGTCAATGGGAGAAAATAAAACTGCCTTCTTTTTTCCTGTGCCTCCTATCTGTCCAAGCTATCTGCCGTTTTTCTGCAGGGTGGGACAAAGTGTGCTCGGTCGCTAGGCAGCCTGTGCACAGCCAGATGCCTCTGGTGATAGTTAAAGGGAGATCTGGAACTAGAGGTAAGATTTGGGAAAGGAGGAAGTT